AAGAGCAACTCCTTAAACGCTTTACAGAGGTGTGTTTTGGCTTTGTAGCTAATGTTTCTCTCAATATCGAGCTGATAACATACAGCTCACAGGGAAACAAGTGTATTGAGATGATTGCTCTCCTCTTCATTATTGATTGCTGGAGTGCAGTGTATCATCCCTGAATTGTATGTAGCTGAAAGTCTTTTGAATTAAAAGAGCCAGGCTTAGGGAACTCCTGAAATAAACAAGGAATTGTTCTTCAGTTTCTGCACAAACATCTCCCATAAAACAAGCAGTAAACGGAAAAAGCTTTCTTTTCCAGTCCAGTGTTGCACACAGAAAGATATCTGGGTGTTACCTGTATGGGCAATTCAACTGTTTTTAATTAACACGCAGCTTAAGCACCGTTACTACCTTCTACTGCTGTTTACTGTGGTCTTTTAAATGCGGAGATAAAACAGAGATGTGAGCAGCAGTAAGCTTAATGAGGTCTGTTAGCCTATGTGTAGTCACTCTTGACTGAGTTCCATGCTTGGAATTGTGAATTCTTCATTAAAGGTTGCTCTGGTGACCGGATAGTATTAAAGGATAAGCTATTCTAAGTCAGGTGCTACAGTTAAGTGTTGACCTTGTAAATGCAGACATTGATAGCTCTTCAGATAAAGAGGGGGGAAGCTGTATCACAGTTGCAAAAAGGACCATTTTGAAAAGTTCAGTCATTTTATTTCTTCTCGTCACTTGCTTTAATTCACATTGTTACTCTTGTTTTATGTTAAAACTGGGGACATTGTGACAAAATGGACCTGCTGCCGTATTCTCTCCTGTGAAGTTAAAGTACAGCCCTGTCAGACTTAATTACCAAGTTTGGTGTTTTGTAACAGCTGTTGAGAGCCTTGAATAATCTACTGGACATGCTCTTTGTTTAGAAAGTAGAGCTAGAAGGCATTAGGTCAACAGTGAAGATAGACATCAACTAGCCTAGTTAACTGTTTACATTTTAAAAATTGAAATTATTTTCTTAGATGATTTTTAATTTTTTTTCCTGGAAACAGACCAGAAACTTTTAAAATAAACTACTTGAAAGTAAAGTGCCAAGGAATCAGATTTCTTCATAAAGGCAGTAAAAGGAGATTTGGTTTAAAAGAAGGAAAGATAAGTGGTAGTGGTAGCTCTGATGTGTTCTAGATCAGTAAACAGCAGTGCTCATGTTACCAAAGTCTGGGAAATTGACTCCCATCTGCATAAACTACTTTGCTTCATTTGGGCAAGTGATATTCTTCCTGAAATGAGGATATAAGTTATCAGAGCTACACCTTAGGTTGTTTGCTCAAGCAATACAGTCTGTTTTATTGGGAGTCTTGTATATGCGCACAGTGGTACCATAGTTTTTAGTATAAATATAATAGAAAATTTGCAAGTCAAGCATGTTTAGAGAAACAGGTCAGACATATCATTCTTCTGCTAGAACTTTTCCTGCCCGTTGTGATACTGTGCTTCTGCATCACAGCCTTGGATGTACTGAGAGAAGATTGATGTTGGCGTGGCACAAGCTGAAAGGTACTGCATAGTAAATCCCTGCCACTGATTTTTCTTTGTGATGGCTTTTGGCTGAAGTTGCCTTTTTTTAATTGCAGAATCCTACTCCTTTGGTTTGCTCCCCCTACCCCCCCCCCCCATCATTGTTGTGAGAAGCACTGCCAAGCGTTGTGATATGAGTGTAGGTTAGTTGGTGACATTTGATTTAGTCACCTGCAAGAACTGCCACCTGGTTTTTCCTTGTCCCATTCCCTCTATGGGAGAACCTGTTCCCCCACTTCATCTTTTAGGGTATCTTTCCTAGCTGTGTTTTTCATCAGTATCATGTCTCCTGACTGAGCACTCGGACTCGCTGTCTTCTCTCAGGCACTTTCTAGCATGACAAAAAGACATTTTATCTCAAATTTGTGTTGGAGATACAACTTTTCACTTTTCTCTTCCAAATGTGTTGGTGTGGTAACATTGCCTGAGCACAGCTGAAAACTCCTGGTGCTCACTGAATAGGCACACGCTTCTGAGGCTATAACTGTGGGCTGGCTGAAGGAGGGTGTAGCTAGCTGAGAACACTTCAAACTTGGTAATAGCATTGGTTTTACTAAGTGTTTTAATAGATGTCTGGCAACGTTGGGTTAGGTTGTTAGCTGGCATGACACAGCGTGTGTGGTGTTGCAGCCAAAGCCAGAAGTGTTACTATTTTTTGCTTGATGTTTTTTAGGTGGCAATTCTAGTGGAGTCCTGAGTAACTCGCATTGGAAAAACGTTTGTGAAGTGTGTATTTTAAAATGTCAGAGGCTTTTGGGGAGTAGGTAGTGCTGTTTTCTTTGGCAATGGAAGGGTTACTTAGGGCAGACATTGAATGGCTCCTTTGCTGTTTTGGTATTGCAGCCTTAGTCCCTAATGCTGGGGGGGGTTGTGTCTCCTTTCCCTCTGCTCTAGCCCCTCAGCAGAATGCCATAATACTGGAAAAATACAAAAATGGCTTTCAGCTGTCTATTTTTCCCTGTTCCTGCTCTTTACTAAGTACCTCTTACTTGTGGTGCAGTATCTAAACTGTTCCCTATAGGAAATACATAAAAAAAGTAGAAAAATGTTGTATGCTTTCAGGCATTTAGGAGTAGATGACTGTGATAAGCTAATTCACTATTCTCTTACAGTTGAAATTTGGCAACTATTATTTGAGTTTCTTTATAGAAGTCCTTTATACACTGAACCTGATATCTGCAGAGAAGCAAGCTAACTACTTGTCCCCAAAATGGTAACCTGCAGGAACAGACATGAAAATTGTACAGCTCTTTGCTGCAGGGGAGGCAGAGGGGTTAGTGCAACAGCTTTGCTGAGCTGCTCTTTTCATGCCCTAGCTTAATAACATAATTAAATGCTGATTTGGACTTGCTAATTTCAGTATTGGTGTAGAATTGAAACATTTATAATGACTGGCTGAATACTGTTCCTGTATTCTGATGTGTGAAGTTTTATCTGGTAGATGATGGGAAACTTAGTCATCAATTTCTGTGCAACTGAAGCTTCTCCTGAGAAAGGATAATAGTGAGGTGGAGGGTTTCCTGCAGTTTCAGTGCAGGTGTTCAGCCTCCGACTTGGGACACCCCCAGACTGCTGCTTGGGAAAGAAACAGCAGCTGCCTGGGTGCGGGGAACACCCAGGACCTGCAGGTGGGGAAACGCTCAGGGTGCAAAACTCTTTGATTGTCCCTGATCGCCCAAGGGACAGAGCATTCGATAGAGACCCTTTCCTTAAGTGTGATTTTCCTGTGCCCTTAGCTAGGCTTTTGTTGTTCCCAGCCTGGGGTGAAGCAGTGGTGGAATGTCAGCTTTCTGTAGGGCATCTACTGTTCCAAAAGATAAAGCCCCCCCTATAAATAGCATCCCAGGAGGAGCTGTGGTGGGAATCCCATCAGCCAGCCCTGGGCAGCCAGGCTGGTTTGGCGAGGAGATGTCTCAGTCACCCGGAATTTTGCATTTGTGTGTCTTTTAGATTTTATTCACTTTCAGCTTCTTGTTTATATGTTTAGTCTGTGGCTAGTAGGGTTTTAAAGTCTTTAATCCTGGAGTTGAAATAAACTGCAATATGCTGTCAGGCTTTTTCCCCCCGGTGTGCCTGCAGGAGTCTGTTTGTATCCAGTGTTTTCTTAAATCCCTGCTTTTCACCAATCAAACCTCAGGTTGTTTCTTACACATTTTCAGTAACAGGAGATAGGTGCCTTGAAGTTCTTGAAGAGAATTATTATGGAATCCTCTTTAGTTCTCTGAGGCTGGAGATAGGTGACCCTGCTTACGCTAAAGATAGATTTCCTGGGCTGCCGGCTGCCTCGCTGGAGCGCTTCAGCTTTGAGCAGATGGCCATAAATGGAAAGAGCAACTGGAGAGAGCTAGGTACCTTAGCCAGAGCCTGGATGATGTGCAACAGGTGGTTCTGCAGGCCCTGCTTTTAAAAACCTCTCCAAGGGTGAGGAATATTGAGTTGGCTGTGGATAGGCTTGTAGTTTTAATTAATAAGTTGGGGGGGGTTTTAGTGTTGCAGTATTGCTCCTGTGTTCAAATTGCTGTGATCTGTGCTGTATCCAACTTCAGTGTGCTCTCTGGAAGTTTCTTTAAATTATTTTTGAGTAATTACTTGGTTTTAATAAACTTTCAGAACTTGAAAAAAAAAATGCATTTTTACCTTCTTCCCTTAGTTGTTGCTTAAACCCCCCCCCC